ATCTTGTTCCCCATTACAGAACAATCCCGAAATAGGCCTTGTCCAGACTCGCTGGTCGTTTGTGAATAAGGATGAAAATTTACTTACAAGACTTCAAAACATCAATCTCTGCTTCCATTTCGAAGTCGAGCAGCAAGTAAATGGAGTTTTCCTCAATTTCTTCGGGTTCAATGGAACAGCCGGTGTTTGGAGGATTAAGGCCTTAGAGGATTCCGGTGGCTGGCTTGAGAGGACTACGGTCGAGGACATGGATATAGCAGTTCGTGCCCACTTGAAGGGGTGGAAATTTATCTACCTCGATGATGTGAGAGTTCTTTGTGAATTACCAGAGTCATATGAAGCATACAAGAAGCAACAACATCGTTGGCATTCTGGCCCGATGCAGCTCTTCAGACTATGCCTTCCGGACATTATAACCTCCAAGGTATAACATCTGCTTATTTTCATTAACTTTTGCTTGTTTTTTAAACGTATTCATAGAGTTTTACTAATTTTTTCTCCCTTCTATGATGTTTTTTTCGCAGATATCAGTATGGAAAAAGGCCAACTTGATATTCCTTTTCTTTCTCCTGAGGAAACTTATACTTCCCTTTTACTCGTTTACGTTGTTTTGTATCATACTTCCATTGACAATGTTCATTCCGGAGGCTGAATTACCTGCTTGGGTCATCTGTTACGTCCCCATCGTCATGTCCATTCTGAACATTTTACCAGCTCCTAAGTCTTTCCCCTTTCTCATGCCCTATTTGCTCTTCGAGAACACAATGTCCGTGACCAAATTTAATGCAATGGTATCCGGGCTATTTCAGCTAGGAAGTGCCTACGAATGGGTAGTCACAAAAAAAACAGGCAGAGCGTCGGAATCAGACTTGATAAGCCTTGCTGAGAGGGAACAGAAAACGATGAATGAAGAGAAAATTCAAAGGCGACTTTCTGAATCGGGTTTAGAAATTCTTGGCAAGTTAAAAGAGCAAAGTGAAAAAGTCCCTATTGTGAAGAAGAAAAACCGAATTTACAAACCGGAACTTGCACTTGCATTTCTTCTACTCACTGCAGCTACAAGAAGTCTATTATCAGCACATGGAATTCATTTCTACTACTTGCTGTTTCAGGGGTTATCCTTCCTTGTAGTGGGCTTAGATTTAATTGGAGAGCAAGTGAGCTGAGATTCAATGGTAATTAATTTCTCGATTCAAGTTTGATGTTTTTGGACATGTACTTCGGTAAAAAAGAGAACTGATTTCCAGTTGTATAGCGATATACACTCTGTTAAAACTGGATTTTATCAGAGATAATTACAGGCAAGGCTCAAGAATTGAAAGGTAGCATAATAGGATTGATTCTTTTATTGTATAATTACCTGAACCATCACTGTTTTGAATAATGAATATAGTATTGAATATAAATGAGTCATTGCAAATATTTTGATATCTATTTCACACAGTTTATGGTTGTTTTATCTTATTATTAGTCATTTATTTTGTTTGCATTCATAGACTAGATGATTCAATGAAATTTGGGATTAAGGGATGCCATGTTAGCCTACTATAGTTCAAAAAATATCTCTTCACTTGTTATTCTTTCTTTCCTTTTTGACTAAAGTTTCGGTTTCTTAATCATCAAAGAGATTAGAAAGAATTCCACATTAAGGGCTTGTTTGGGATAGGTTTTGCTTTTTGTAGAAGATTTCCGATGAGGTCGACTTTTTCTAAAAACTCTTGTATCCACACAAAGCACTAGAAGCAGCTTTTGGCTTTTCAAAAGCCCCACCAAACAGACCCTAGACCCAGGCTTTCTGTGTGCTGGCTGCCATGGCTTGGGTGATCGATCCATTTTCGCGCCTCCACTTGCTGCTATATGAAACTGCAGAAATAGGATCATAAACAATATGCACCAAAGCCGGAGATATCTGTCTGTCAAAACTTTGTCTGTACTTCTTCACATTGAAATTTCATGTTGCCGATCCAAAATAATCCATCCCACGCCAGTAAGAAACACAAAACACCTCATTGATTACATTAACATTGCATTTGCATTTGCATTAATTGAATGATATCTTAGGACACCTAATTACTTGACTAATGGTAATAACATGTGATATCACATGTTATGACTTTGGAAGAAGTAACTCAGTCCTCCTGTTTACGTCTTATTTTTTAATCCCGAAAGACATTAAGGAAGTCGGTGCCAATTTGAAATTTTTTACAAGTTAATAATCTCAGCTTTTTTGAAGTTACAGAGTATCCACATTCTCGAAAGCAATAAAAAAGTAAGTTTCCCCCCAACAAATTTAGTAGTAAATCATAAATTTGACGCACATAATTAGGAAGTTTGGGTTTAATTTACTAGCAGTAGGTTGTAATGCTGGTTACAAGTTTCAAAGACGAGCCTCGTGCACTGGTTACACACACACTGATGAAATTAGAAAATGTAAGCTTAGCAGACATTGTGCTTGTATCATGTGGATTTGGACACATATCTCGATTCAGCATAGAAATCCACAAGTTATGTTTCATTAATCCGGTGAACCTGGCATTTGATTACGCCATCAAGAGTTTACGAGTGTACACATACCAGATTTCTGCATTTGAATCAATACTTAGTAGCACTTACAATAGCTTCAAAATATGTGTTCCTTTTGGCCTTTTTTCTATTAAGTACCAACAGTGTATGACTCCCTCTCTCTGTCCCCTTTTTCTTCATAATAGGATATACTTGATTGAGTACATGTGCTGGAACTAAACTTCTTTACTTCAGTTCTATGTATAAACATCGATTGTTTTTTGTAGGTTTCATCAGTGTGGGACAAGGAGGTCCTATTTCCTATACAATGTTATATCTCGTTCTTTATATTACACCATTCTAGCAAAACATGAATCTTTTCCTTCATTAAGTTCTTGAATGTCTAGCTAAATAGAGATATGGGGTCTTTTATTTCTCATGATATGTACTTGCAAACACAGGCCGCAGCTGTAACTGTACCATTACCAAAGTCCAGTTTAGAAGAAACCAACCCCTGCTCCGCCACTCAAGGCCTCAGCACCGCATTCTCCAGCACTCAAGGCCCCACCACCACCAGCAGTCAAGGCACTACCACCTCCATCGCTACACCTACGGACAATACACAATCATGCATCGCTTCTTAAACTGATGTCACTGTTATGAGTCATGACAGATAACTTCTTAGAAATTTGTCCTGCGAAAAAGGCAAAAATCATATCTAGACAAAAATTTCAAGCTGCCCCAGATGCAAGTTTCGATTTCGGATTGACCACATTTCTATAGTGATCATACTTAAGTACTTAACTCATATTGTATCACAACACCACAAAATGAACCAAAAGAGTGCAAAATTGTTCATTGTTAACACCGCCAGGCCACCCTATAGGCTATAGCCTAATTAAACTACTCACTTCCTGCCATTTGGTGTCATGCTGTACATCAATTTCCGTCATCAAATACAGGGAAACTATCGAAAAAAATAGGAAAAAACTGAAGCCTCATTGATATTATCTTTCTGGCACCTTCCTATGATGTAATGAAACATTGGTACTAAGGAATCCTATATATAGACCGAGGAACAAACTCCCTTAGTATCATTTTAATTGCACCAACATTACTTCACTTGTTAGAAAAATGGCTGTCAATAGAATTGCTATATTGGCAATGGTTTGGTTAGCTTTTGCAGCATTGGCAGTGAGTGCACAAACGTGGGCCCCGTCACCAACGCCTACTCCAGACGATCCACTTAAGGGTGCTGCACCTTCTGGAATGGCTTCATTCCACACTACGATGTTCGGATTTGTTGTTGCTGTTGTTTCCTTATTTGCCATGAAAGATTTTATTTGAGCTTTCCCGTTTGGATTATTGTTTAGTCTAATTACTACATTTGTGCGTATTTTACCATTCTACACGATCGACTTCAATAATGTGGGATGTTAGATTTCTTGTTCAAGCTTCTTCTACAAGAAAGTAACACTTGAATCGTGTCAAGATTAATGCATTTTAAGAATCACAAAGGTTGATCATTTTTCTTAATATTGTCCAGTTCGCTTGTCGAAAATGTGGTCAATGGGTGGATCAAATCGAAAATAGACAATTACCAGAAGAGATAATAAAGCCATGGGAACGGCTAGCACATGCTATACATGCCAGCTATGTTAATTTTTCCAAACAGTTGAGACTTATGGATGTTTTCTCTGTCACAATATCAGCTTAGCAGCAATTTTGGTTCTTCTCCTCACACGGTTTCGACCGTGTTAGTATTTTCGTAAGAAAAAAAAAAAAGGCAAACAAATTTAGTTTAGAAAAGATCACAATGCAACACATGGTAACATTTTTTAACCTGAAGTTCCATGATAAAGTCCCAGTTTGACACGTTTGTCTCGATTGAATTGTCCCAATTTGACATGAGTAAAAATTGTTCGATCTCAAAGTTCTAACATAATTCTATTATGAATGAATCAAATTGTAATTCCAATTCAACCCAATATGAATGAATCTACGAGTTTGCCAATTACGAGTTAGAACAATATTATTCATTACTGGAAATTATTACAAGTTTAGATAAGAGATTTTCAAATTGAAACGATACCGAAAATTCATAACTTTTATTCCCCTCACATAACTCCATGTGCCTCCAAATCCCAACCGTTGGATTATGACCTTCTCCCCCACACCCCAATCCCTAAATCCTCAAAATAAAAAAATTAAGAAGTCCAAAATTTACAGACATAAAGTGGCGACGCGCCACCTCAAACCCCACCAGAAGTATATACTGTTTCCAGCACTCATGCCAGAGGCAGCGGCGCGTCTTCTTCACACACCGACACACCCATGTGTAAATTTAACCGTAACGCGTCCTCACAAGCTCAAAATTTATATTATTTTCAATTTCATCGACCCCAGTAAAACGATCCCCTCTAAAACTATACTTCCCCACCCCATTTTCTCTCTGCAACACCGCCCACTGCTCCCCTCTCTCTGAGAAAACAGAGATAATGGCTTTGAAATTACTCCTTTTGCTATCACTTTTATTGCTATTTTCCACTGCCGCATATTCCCAGCGGCAGCCCATCTTAAGCACTAGTTATTACCAGAAAAAATGTCCAAGATTTGAGCAAATAATGCAAGACACCACCACAAACAAGCAGATCACCTCCCCCACCACCGCAGCCGCCACCCTCCGCCTCTTCTTTCACGACTGCTTCATGGGTGGCTGTGACGCCTCTGTCCTCATCTCTTCCACCCCCTTCAACAAGGCCGAACGCGACGCTGACATCAACCTCTCCCTCCCGGGCGACGGCTTTGACGTGGTGGTACGGGCCAAGACCGCCCTTGAACTCGCTTGCCCCGGCATCGTTTCCTGCGCAGATATTCTCGCCGTCGCGGCCCGAAATCTAGTCCTAATGATGGGCGGCCCGTATTACACTGTAAAACTAGGCCGCAAAGATTCTCTGATTTCGAAAGCTTCCTACGTAGAAGGGAACTTACCAAGACCCAGAATGCCGATGAATCAAATAGTCCAGATTTTCACCTCCAGAGGATTTTCCATTCAAGAAATGGTTGCTTTATCAGGTGCCCACACCATTGGATTTTCACACTGCAAAGAATTCAGCTCCATTCTTTACAACTACAGCAGAAATGCACAATCAGACCCAGCTTACAATCCCAGATTTGCTCAGGCACTGAGAAATGCTTGTGCAGATTACAACAAAAACCCAACACTTTCAGTGTTCAACGACGTAATGAGTCCGAATAAATTCGACAACATTTATTACCAGAACGTGCAGAAAGGTTTAGGCATTCTTTCTTCGGACCACGCATTGAATTCGGATCCAAGAACTAAAGGGTATGTGGAACTGTATGCTAAGAATCAGAACGCATTTTTTGTGGCATTTGCAAGAGCAATGGAGAAGTTGAGTGTGTACGGGGTCAAGACCGGAAGAAAGGGGGAGATTAGGCGCAGATGTGACGCGTTTAATAACTGATGAATTTTTATTTTCCATTTCTATTTCTCCTTTTGTTGTAACAATCTCATAATTTACATGCATACAACATTGTCTCGATAATACACATTACCATATGTTTTTGGAGTTGAGTTTTAGTACAAATGTTCAACATGATGGATTATTCGTTGACGCAATTGCTACTTTTTTAGAGTTCGATATCAACATGGACTGGATTAAAGGTTAAAAAAGAATATTTTGGAATGACAACTAATCTTTTTATAGTGGATAAGTCAGAAGTGTCCAATTTTTTTGCCGAATTTGAGAGCAATGTTGCATCTACAGGGAAAATTTACGGAGAGTTTTACGAAATGCTATATGGCAACATTTCATTAGATTTTGAACCAAAATACATAGTTAAACAATCAATCATGTACTGTTATCCTAGCATCTTTGAAGCTCGCCGTGCATTTCCCCTGTACAATTGTTATTTCTGCAAATTTGAACCCTAAATTTTAACAAGCATTTTCCAAACTTTGATGCCTCCAAAATTTAGCCTCATGAATATAGAAAGTGGACCATTGCAACAACGCGACGCATCAATACTTGGAATGTCAACGTGTTTGGATTAGAGGTGGCAAATGTGCTGAATCACTCGCCGACTCAATTCGAACTTATTTTGAGACGAGTCATTGATCGAATTACGCCCAACTTTTTTCATGAGTCATCACTCGTGGACGTCTCGATCCACAAGACAAATGGTCAAATTGAGTCTAGTTTGTAAATACAAGCCCAACTCAGGTGTATAAGGCCAAGCCATTTCGGAGTCTATTGACATAATTAGTTCGTACGTTGCATATTAGACCTTTTTTTTTTTTTTGTAGTTATTTTTTCTGAAGCTTTTTTTCTTTTAAATTTCAAATTACGGAGCATTTAATAGTCGTAAAATTTGTTCTTTTTAGTTAATTCTTAGTATTTAAAGTCTACCAGGGTATTCGTTTTTTTTTTTTTGACAAATTATCCAAAATTGCGAAACCTATGCCTTTTCAAATCCATTAGTCATATCTGCGTTCTATATGAATTGTTTGTTTGTGAAAAGTCCGTCCATGTACGGATGGGTATTACGTGACATACTAAAATATGTTGGTTTTGTGCTTATTATTAATAATAATACAAGAAGAACTAATAACAAAAATAAGTTCATGTTTGGGAAAAATTAAAAGTTCCCTTAATTTGAAGTCTCTCTAAAACAATTTCTAGTGGAAAATGATGCAGGCAAATTTAGCAATTTTCATAGTATAATCCACCACTATAGGAGAAATTTAAAAATTAAGAAGATAATGATCCAAGCACATTGATGACTAATGGTCAATCACATATAAAATATCTGCAATTAGTCTTCGTGACAAATTAAAACATAAAACTTCCAAAACTTTGGATGAAGGTCGGCATGTGAACACCCAGATCGATCATAAAATCATCGTTTTCCAAGAACATAATCATTACTCAACTAAAAAGTTACCCCCTACGACATCAGCACCTTCAGAACAATTAATCCAACCAAGACAAGTTGAAAATTTGATGTCAACGCCATATCATCTACCAATACGAAAGAACGTAACGATTGTCTAAACAAGCAGCTTGAAAAACGAATTCAAGCAAAAACTTTAAAAACACGAAATTTAAAATCTACCAAATTATAAAAAAATAAACTCACAAATTTTATTAATTGAAAGATGATAAAAAAAGATGAACTAACCCTTTATTAATAAGGATTTACTTGAAAACCTAATTAAAATAAACTAAACGACAAAACTAGCACTAAAACTTTAAAAGCAGTTTTCGAGTCTGAAACGAACTCGGATTGCCGAAATCCATCATATGTCACAACACAGTGGTGAGTTCTACTTGTCTCATCGCTCTCTTTCTAAAATGGTATTATGGGCATAAATCAAAGCTCGACTGTCACACCTGCGTTTTTGCCAATTTTCCTTTTCGGTCTAACTTTTCTTCAATCCATTCAACCATTTGTTCTACATCAATAAGTCACAATTACAACCTTGATGCAATGGTGACTTGATTAGTCGAACTTAACATCCAAACAAATCCCTTTAGACAGGATAATGGCACACAAATCCCTTAAAACATAATCCCGTCACCAATATAATTTTGAACTAAATCAAAACTCAACAACACGATTTAGTCCTTGTTTCTCCTCTATTTTTCAAAAACCCATTTATCCTCAAATTTGGTTCAAACACGTTTCCAAATCTATTTCAGGAAAAAAAAATCAATCACGTTGACGATTAAAAATTGTGACACATGTCCAGCATGAATAGTGCCAAGAGTTGGCCTCTTTTTTCAGGAAAAAAAAAATCAATCACGTTGACGATTAAAAATTGTGACACATGTCCAGCATGAATAGTGCCAAGAGTTGGCCTCTTTTATATTATAGGGAAATTGGAGCTTAGTCAAAATGACCTCTTCCACAAAAAAAACTTCTGCATTAAGCCCAGCCCAATCAAGCCTAACAGCCAAGGATCAATTTATGTTTCAGGTCCAGGCCGACATATCTACAATTCAATCCAACACCTAGTACATTCTGGATCGTTCGATTTCTGCTGGTCCATTCCTCGCAGACGTGTGGGTCCCACGTTTGAATTCATTTTTAAGAAACCACATTTGAATCCTAACGCAGACGATATTATTTTGGCTTACGCCTCAAGCCACCGACCTCCATCTCCTATAAAATCACCCCTCCCGCATGGCGGTAACAGAAAAATTCATATTCTCAACAATTCTACCAACAAATCTTTCTAAAAGATCATCAACCATGGAAGGAGGATCAGAAGCTTTTCCAGATTTAGGAAGGCACTGCCAAAATCCTGATTGTCATCAACTCGATTTTCTTCCCTTCACATGTAACGCTTGTAAAAAAGCATTTTGTTTAGAACACAGATCATACAAATCCCACGCCTGTCCAAAATCCGACATCAATAGCAGAAAGGTGGTGGTGTGCGAAATCTGCTCCGCCTCAATCGAGACCACAGGCCATTACGGAGAAGATGAGAAGAATATTTTGGAGAGGCACGGGAAGTCGGGAGATTGTGATCCTAAGAAGAAGAAGAAACCTGCTTGCCCTGTACGCCGGTGCAAGGAGGTTCTGACCTTTTCCAACACCGCAACGTGCAAGATTTGTCAAATTAAGGTTTGCTTGAAGCACAGGTTTCCGGCAGACCATGCGTGTAAGCCAACGGTGTTGGATGAAAACAAGTTTTTGGTTGCTTTGGCTGCAAGGAACGGGAAAGATTGTGGGAAGAAAGTTGTTGCTCCGACCACACCTACTATCAAAGCTTGTTGATGAATTTCGCCCAACTTTTTAGAGCTCAACTCCATGTTGTCAATTATGTCATGTTTGTTAGGCACGATAGGTTCGATAAAATCAAGAAAAAGATTACCGTGTACTGAACATTTATACATTTCTTCAAGAACATCTATTTAAATGTTATAAGAGAATGAAAATGTTACCTGGGTTTGCTTGCTAATCAATTTGCGTATCTAACAAGCACAAAATGTACAAGTCGCATAAATATGAACACGCCCATCATCAACACGGGAAGTAAAACATTTATAAAGCAATCATTTATTTCATGGCATGGCATCATTGTAAATACGTTCCCAAACCATATACAACAACTCTCTATTTGTTACATTCCTAGGTTTTCATATAAAATTACTGATTCTTAATCCCAGATTCATAAACTATTATCAATAACCTAATGCACATAGTTGCAATGTGCTTGCTTGTGCCGTTGATTGCTTTATACGGGCCTATACAGTAAGGAGAATCTCCTTCCTTGGTCCCTGCAAAATAGCAAATCAGATTAAGGTGTTTGACACCCATTTTAGTAGAAAAATTAGTTTTTGAATAGTGATTGATTGAAGAATATATGGTTAAAAAGTAAGGAGAATTTTTAGGTTTCTGTGTAATATTATTTTATTAATAGAATGTGTGGTTGAAATGAAGAAAAAGAATGAGAATGAGAATGAGAATGGGGAAAAAATGAGTGCCAAACAAGGGCATCAGTATTACTCTCTCCTTCTGGACCCGAGGAATCAATATTTCTACTTGCAATTACATGATGTCGGTTGCAAATTACGACGATGCCACTATCTAATTGAGGTTGAAACAAATCATGCTTTATTTCAAGCAGAAACAATGGTAAAGAGACTTCTTACCTCTTGCCTCTGGAGAAGATGCAGACAACTTGACACCTAAATTTTAATAGCATTTTATGACATAGAAAGAGGTATTTCAAACAGTCACAACCTTGGGGCTATAAATCCATGATCATAATTTTAGTTAGTCTTTCGTCATTTTGTCTCCCCCTCAACTTTTTGGCGTTTGATAAATGATTTTTTTCATGTTTTTGCACAATTTAAAGGTGACATGAAATATGAGTCTTCTAGCCTGTCAACAACCCTGCAACAGTTTAATAAACAAGAAAAGGTTCACCTTGGGCATGCATCCTTTGATCAATTATACTAGTAAAAAATGTATGAAAAAAAATAAAAAAACGATACCATTTGAATTTCCAACTCTTTCAGATCTTGGTCACCCATTTGCTTCAGTACTGCAATATAACATCTATATCAAAAAATTAACCAATGAACAATAACAATGCTACATTCTTGAGTGAACTACAAGTCAACACTTGAAGAAACTTCTTTTGTGGATAAGCCACCTCCACTACTGCTTACCATCTTGTTATTTGCATTATTTATCAGCAGCAGTTTACCATCTATACATTCTTAAATTATCATAACAATATATGAAATAAACACAAGATTTCAAATTCGGCAATAGTGAATTATTTTTCCCCTACAGACTAGACTACAAGACTAATGCCTACCTGAAGTCCAAAAAAAGCAAAGAACTAATACTAGTTTTTGCATTCTTATTCTATGAAAGTGATCCCAACCTCCTCAGCTTGAAAGGAATAGCATATTTTCCCCAACCAAGTGAATGCAGCAAGCCCCTCACAGTGAGAGGTTGTTCGTCCTACATAAAATCAGAAAGACCTTACGACTAGGACAAAGAACTGAGTCTGATAGTACAAGAGTGAATATATTTCATTCTGTCAGATGTCATGCGGCTAGGACATATTAAATTGTTAAGTGAAAAGTCATTTACGTAGAAAAATACAACTATCATAACATAAACAAATCAATAGAGTACAGAAAATATTTTAATTGTATTCATGGCAGTCATGTTTTGAAATTTCTATTGGAAAAATAGGTTAAGTTCAGATTTTGACTGCAGGAATTGACAGCAAGATAATCTGAAAATGAATATTTTAATTATGATTATCAATTATCAATCCAATTTGCCAGCACTGTTGTTTGTTTAAGAAAAGTGATAGCTACTAAGTTTTCATCAGTACTATAAAAGAAGTCTTTCTCTCTAGAATAATCTAATTATGACTACCAACTTCTGATTTAAAACATTAAACATTAATGAATTTAACAAATATTTCCATCCACATCTTATTCGAAAGTCATCAACTTATGTGAATAACAACCTGCTGAAAGGATAGACACAAACATTGAACAGCAAGTGGTTTGACTGAGCACTGAGGGGGAGAAAGAGACATTTATCACTTTTGATCCAGTCAGTCTAAGATGTTTAGCAGAATAATTACACAAAGCATCTTGCCTAAAGCCTGAGTAAATCCCATGAAGAACTACTGCTAAATGCGTACAAGGCCGGAAATCTATTTGCCTACTAAGGTTTCGTTATCTAATGTGTGCTATAACTATTTTTGTTCTATATAGTGCTGGTTACCAAGGAAGTCAACGTAAAAATCTAAATTTCCAACCGCTACCTTCCGTTAATAAAAAACCATGCTAGCACGAAAGACAAGCTAAGAGAAGACAGATTTATACAGGGTATGGGCCACTGGACATGCCACTCCTTGCTGAAGGGAGTCTTGTAACCAGCTTGCCAGAGTCTACAGTAGGGTCGAGATCATAGGAAGAGAGCCCATTGATCTAGAAGGATCCAAGAGATTGATTAGATGCACTTCATCAGTAGTTATCCTAGGGGTTGAAATCGGATCTCATAACTCTATCCAGGAACCTTGGACTTAGTCCATCCAAAGTCCAAGAAGCATATGAACTTCTTAATGGCGTCCCAGCTTCTCTTGCTGTTTGTGAAATGTCTTTCACCTTGCTCCTTTCAGACGATTCCAGAGACCGAATAGCTTTCGAGACCTTCTCATGCAGTTCCATCTTCTTGTGCTCCTCTATCCTGTGCTCTATATGCCTACTGATTCTCTTGCGCATCAGCTTCAAGCGGAGATCTTCTGGATCAACTCGCAGATCTTCTAAGTCAAGTTTGATACCCAAAGAAGGCATTAAAACGAAGAAGAAAGTTCAAGCGTGCGCATCATGGGACAAGGATATAAAATCACAATATAATTACATGGGCTGATTTAAGTACTATATCCATTCTGGCGATTGCGTTCGGAGCTCCTGCTCTTTGGTTCCCCATCCCTTCTCAGCCTGTAAATATAACAAAAGATTATGACATCAATTAAAAAATTATTTATTCCGACCTATGTAAATCCTCAAAATTTCAACCTCAGCTACCTGCAGATTATTTAAACTTTGAGGAAGCGCCATAGACTTAACTAGTGGGGGTTATGGAAAACCCACACCGTTGGTTAAGTAAGAAAATGAATGATCAAAATGGCTCCCAAAATAATCCGCTGATAATCTTTTGCTTCCTGATAATACGAGCCTTAGCACGACCATCAGAGTTTCCCCATGGTCCCTTCATTGCTTTCTATACACTCAAAACACATTCAGAGAGAATAAAATCAGGTAACAACAAAAATCCACAGGGTAGCTATATTTTTTTGCATATTGCTGTTTGGTAGTTTATAATTTGCCAAACCTACTTTTTATCCACACATTTCATTAGATTATAATCTCTTCCCAAACATACAATGAATCACCATTGTTTTATTTAAGCTAATAATCATACGCGTGTATCACTGGATGCATAAAATTAATCATTTGAAACAATTTCCAACTGTATATATACAGACACTACATGTACAAGCATATTATACGGGAAAAAAAAAAAATTAAAGCATACTTGACCCAAGCTGCCCAACCCAAGGTGATCGTAACCAGTAGCTTCGACATTGTAATTCCCCTAATCCCAAAAGCTCGAATTGTCCTCCAACTTCCATCACAGCTGATAAAAAAGTTATATAATTAAGCTCATGATTACAGAATCTTCGGCAGAATGAAATTGAAAAACGAGAAAAAATCATATTAAGGAACAGTATTAGCTGAACTCCAGAACCCTAAAATTGCAACTTGATTTTTGCAGCAATGAAGGATTGAGACGTTAGGAAACGAATTCGGTGAACGAGTTAAAGAATAATGTGTGTCACAAAGCGAGCTGTTCTTCTAGCAGAACTGCTAGTTAAAAGAGCTGACGAGAAAGTGAGAAAGAAAGCAAATTAAAAGAAATAAAGTAAAAAATCCTAATTGGGCAAACCTAATAAATAAATAAAGACGAAAGGAAAAAGGGCTACGACGACATACGATGTCGTTTTGGTGCATAAAACGGGCTCGAATCACAGATATACAATTCAAATACTTTCATCTCTCTCAACGGTTTCCAAGTCCTATTCACTGTGTGTAATTGGATAATTGAAGTTCAGATCCCCTCCTTCAGTGAGTGTCTGTGATAATAAAAGAGTGGCGCAAGCATGATAATTTCCTTCCATTGAAGCAAGCGGCCCAACTTTTAATGGCTCGTTCAAGTAAGTTCCCATTTTCCCTCGCAATTCATTATATTTGAGTAGTTTTGTATGGAATACTGCGAATTTATTTTGTAAATTGGCTTTTGAATTATTTCAGACTCGATTTGAAGAAAGATTTCACTTTCCGCACAAATTGAAGTAAGATTTGTGCGTTTCTATATACTTTTGCAACAGTGAGTAGTTTGAAGTATTAATCTTCTAGTGTCTTTTGGATATTACGATAGTTTCTTTCCAAAATTTCAATGGCAAAACTAAAAGTTCGAAAAAATACTAAAAAACCTGGAAGCAATCAAAACAACGGCAAGGAAGATGAGGTCTCATTAGACCAGAAAGAAGACGTATTTCAAGACCATGAAGGTATTGCTTGAAATCCATTTCTTTATTTCTGTTCGTGGGTTTATGTATTCTTGAAAATGGAAAGGTAAAGACTAGGAACAAATTCGATTAACATTTATATTAGAATGAACAAGACACCCTTCTGACGGACAGGCTTATAATTTTGATTTCTGACTTTTGCATT